CGTGCGTGCGTGCGTGCGTGCGTGCGTGCGTGTGTGTGTGTATCCGCTACACTATCGACGTGAACGTTCGATACATGCAAACAATGATTCACGGTGTCTTACCGCACGGTGATTGGCCGTTTTATGTCAAAATATTTCAGCGTCCATGACACTATGTGTGTGTGCGTTCACTTATAATGCGTGCGCGTGTGTGTGAGCGTGGGTGCGTGCTTACGTATGTGCTTGCGTGGATTTCGATTGGTAAATGTTTAACATGCGCGCACGTAGATTTTAGAGAAATTTGGGATGATTCGTTTGAGCGAAACGTTGGGACAGACGATTTTCATAATATCATACTATTCGTGAATATGGTTTCTCTACTTTAAATGTATATCTACCAACTAACATTTTGTGTTCGCGGAAACCGAGCTTACGTTGACATAGACGGACCATACTATATCCTACAGTATAGAGAAATTCGAGGAAAATAAGGTCATTATTATGAAATTTACACATTGGGATAGACATTTGTCATATAAATTTCGTCAATACTTATGAATACGTTCTATATTATATGCCCTTGCGTATAATTCCTAGCTGTATTAAATAATACTGCTATCATTCATGTAGACTACTTTCAAGCTAGCACATTGCTATGTTATCATAATTGCACAAGATTGTGAAATACAGACATCAATAACTATTATATTGTCGCGCACGTGTGTAGCGGTTCACGCAGCGACCCCTGGCGGTGCGCCGTTTGTGCGTAAGCACTCGCGTAAAATACATCCCTTTAGAACCCCGTTTGCAAGCGACAGCGAAACGGCGAGCAAGACCGATGATGTCATTCTATTTGTGATTACGATGACCGTACGTGGTCGACGCCCGCACAGCGGGGCCGCGTTGTATCTAGTAGCACCACGTACGTCGCCTCGAACGGTGTTCAACGCAGCGTAGCCGCGATGTTCAGGCTGGCTTACTAACGTGCGATTGTCGCATTTGTGGCTTTGGAAAACCGTAGACATTCGTATTTCGTCCGCCGTTCTCGTCACGGCGGTCTGGTATTGATCGCAACATCGCTGTGCGCGTCGGAACCGATAGCTGTGTGTGTGTGTGCGCGCGCGCTCGTGTGCGGGTGCAAGCGAGCTCAGCTGCTGCTGCTGTTGCTGCTGCTGCTGCTGCCGCAAGGCGAGTGAATGAGTCATCGGCAGTCATGGCGCCCAGCTCCGTAGAGGATCCGGAATACGAGGACTACCTCGAGGAGAAGGAGAACAACGACTCGCTCGAGAACCTACCGCTATCGAAGAGCCTCGTACGCATGCATGGCCGTGTGCGCAACGGCGGTCGCGGTGTCGCGGACGACACTGCCGACGTTCCGTCGTGCTCGTGTTCGTGTTCGCAGACGACGGACGGACACGTGCCCCGCGAGTCGCCGGCCCGCTCGGCCCGTGCCAAGGACAAGCGCGGACGTGCCGGCAAGGGGAACCCGCGCAAGGACAAGCGGAGGATGCGAGACAGGCGCAAAAGCAGCGGACTGGTGTACCTGAAGTCGACAGGAGAGGTGAGTGCTCACGCGCTGTCGCCTAGATACAATAATGTAACCCAGCAAGAGTAGGGTTACATTTGTAAGCCTACAAATGTAACCCTACTCTTGTACCTGCACATTTTGTAGGTTTACATTTTACTAAGCCTACTATTGTTGGGTTACATTATTGTATCGCGCTGGCGCCCTGCTCACTGCGTTGATGATACTTACGCCTAGATTGCTCTGTACGTAGCAATCTGTACGTAGATAATCGTCCCAGTGTACCAAGATAACCTTGCAGCGTCAATGCTTACCCAGTTAATCTTCTTCTTCTTCTTCTTCTTCTTCTTCTTCTTCTTCTTCTTCTTCTTCTTCTTCTTCCTCTTCCTCTTCCTCTTCCTCTTCCTCTTCCTCTTCCTCTTCCTCTTCCTCTTCCTCTTCCTCTTCCTCTTCCTCTTCCTCTTCCTCTTCTTCTTCTTCTTCTTCTTCTTCTTCTTCTTCTTCTTCTTCTTCTTCTTCTTCTTCTTCTTCTTCTTCTTCTTCTTGTTCTTCTCCTCCTCATTCCCCTCCTACTCCTTCTCCTTCTCCTCCTCTCCTCCTCTCCTCCTGCCCTCCTCTTGTTCTTCTTCTTCTCTTTCTTTTTCTTCATTATGTACCAAGAACACCCTCAATCTATATCCAGGTAATCATACTTTTCAAGGTAATGCTGCTACCACAATGTAAACCCAGAAAATATAAATATTGAAATAGGATAACCCGTTCCACCCCATCTATGTACAAATCCAAATATCGTTGGCTCTATATATATATGTACCCAGGCAATCGACCGTGATAATGTGTATATATGGCGTAATAACGATATATGTAATATAATAGCGAAACCATCACAAAATCCTGGTTATTTATGGTCGAAGATTCTGTAGAATTCTTGTTAATGCTAATGCATTTCCACGCCGGACTCGTGCGAAAGCACGATCATGTTTTGTGTCATCAACTCGTTCTATATATATAACGTAGGGAAACGAGTTTTCTACGAGCGCGGCTGTCATATTATCAGCAGTGATCTATGTGTGCTCTGCTGCGATGCTGCCCGTTAGCGAGATAATGTTTTAGATCATATGGGCTGTGTAGTCATATGGGCATTTGGAATGAAAATGATTTTGGAATGAAAATGAATTTCGAATGGAAATGAATTTGAAATGAAAATGAATTATAAATAAATAATAAAAATATCCGTAGCCATCTCGGCCACCATAATGTAGGATCATCCGGTAATCTATGTTTCAAATTGTACGTCGAAAGAGTACAGGTGATGACGAAACGGATGTGACTGAGAGCAGACGAGAGGAAGTCAAGCGGGCCGGAAGTCATGGGCGAGAGGTTGTTGAGGATGAATTCGTCGAGGTGAGTGGCGCGCAACAATGCTGAATAGAATGCGGTACATTTAGCAATATCAATCATGTGTTATGATAATCCTCATGTTAGTAAACACAACCCGCGTCACGAGTATAGGCAGCATTAGCAGCCGCAGTTGCAACAGCTAGCAACAGAAGCAGCTGCAGCGGAAGCAGTGGCAGTGGTGACAACAGCAAAAACGACGACGACGACGACAACGACAACGACAACAACAACAACAACAACAACAACAACAACAACAACAACAACAACAACAACAACAGCAGCAGCAGCTACAACGCTATTATATTGTCATGGGCGATTAAAGCTTCTTATAAGTTGTTTTTCATAACGGCCATAAAATTAGCCGTGATTTTCAAGTCACGTAATAATAATAATATTATAATAATAATAATAATAATAATAATAATAATTACGTAATAAATATGTATTCATAGTTAGTCATGGTTAACCCCAGCCCGTGCACAAAGCTTTGCGGTGCCATTAGAATCGCTCGGCTGCAAACTCTATTGATTTTCCTGATGACAAACATCCGTGCGCGTGAACGTCCCATGGGAGCTAGTGGCAATATGGACCCAGCGTATGTAACCACAATAGTCATCAAACGTCTTATTTCGTACGGGTGGGAATATGAAGGGTTAGTAGAAAGGTTGAGTTATGACGTCGGTGTATCCAGCGACTCCCCGCTGCAAGCGTTTACCTGCTTTTACGCTCGTTGACCAGGAATAAATTATTTTCTCACGTTTATGAATTCCTTTAGTTGTCTTTTTTTCAATTGTAAGTGATACTTGCGATAGCACTGCAACGAGTATCAGTCGCATCATCAATTCGTAAATCGATTCAGTTTAGCTGTGTGTAGAATAAACTTATTCAACACCATACGCGAGATCAAAGTCGTTCTGCGACGGTTGTTCGGTGTGTTGAAAGTATAGTGGAAATGTGAAACGGTAAAATAGTTGATAACGGTAAAACGGTTAACGTCGATTATCTCGCATTGCAGAACGCCTGTCATGGTACGCTCTATCTGAGGAGAGGCGGTAAAAGGTACGTTCATATTTCCCGACCGCGGTGTCCGAAACGATCCTGAATCTAACGCAATGATCACAGTATATTTCCACAGCTCTTAGAGCTCTAATGTGCAGTTCGTAATTGCGTTCTTATTTGTTACATGGCCACTGTCTATGCAGATTATATATATATATATATATATATATATATATATATATGACGGAATTAATAGAGTTGGAGTTTAATAGAGTTGGAGTGGTGTTGATTTCTTGTACCTATAGCCTTATTTTCAGCCCGAGGCAACAATGAGTCGTAGTTACATTACCTATTAGTTCAATATGCTCGACTTGCCACAACATTTAACGAGGAAGAACGATGTTAATTGTGTTACGTAGTATCTAGCAAATATTGAAGAAAACAGGGGAACCGGGGGAAGTTGCAATGTGAGAAATAAAGAATTGAGATCAGAGAAAATAATAAAGTGAGGCAAAGAAGAAAGGGTCCGATGTAAGGGAAAGGGCAAAGAAAGGTGACAAAAGTCCAAAAAATGGAGAATCAGAAAAAAAGAGGGAATGTGCAAACCACATCATGAAGAAAAATGAAAGACGGGAAAGTAAAATAGGAGGCAATAAAGAGAAAGGAAGTGGAGAAGAATTAGTGTGCGTATATGTGAGTGTGAACGAGAGGAAAAGAAAGCAAATGAGCTAGAGAATAAGGAGAGGAAAACGAGAAATGGAGAAAAGGAGAGCGAGATGAAGACAGAGTGGTATCCCATAATATTACTGGCCGTATTGTCAATCTGTTGGCGATTGCATGTCGCACGATTGCGCGTAAAAACTAGAGATATGCCAACATAACGTGTCATTCCTAATGTTCCAACGTGGATTGAAACAATACAATCACGAAAATGAATACCAGAATTGAAAAATGATTGGAGGAAAATGGACTAAAAAAACCAACGCAATAAAATATATACTGTGTGCCACACAGTGACGAGCATAGGTCTCTAACTCGTAAATCCCGGGCCGGTTAGATCAGATATACAGCAAAGTATCATCACGCATGTATAATATAGATCTATCTATAATTTATATATATATATATATCAAGAGCTAATAATACCTATTATTAGCTCTTGGTATTATTAGCTCTTGATTATAGGTATTATTAGCTCTTGATATATATATATATATATTATGCCGTCGTTGCCTCGTTATCTTGACTTTATTGTCTTCATGGTTTATGGTTTAAGTCCCTCCGATTTAGAAGCGGACTGTGAAGACAACCGAGAGTCGGACTCGGTATCCAGTCTCAGCGCCTGTCTGCCGATCTCACCGAAGAAAACGCCTCTGCTCGCCGGAGAGGAAGACACTGCGATTTCGCACCCGGAGAACAATGATGCATCAGAGGTAATCATTATATCGCCCAATTCTTTGTATAGTATCTCTCTCTCGCGCACTCGCTCTCGCTTTCTTTCTCTCTCTCTCTCTCTCTCTCTCTCTTTCTCTCTCTTTCTATCTCTATCTATCTCTCTCTCTCTCTCTCTCTCTCTCTCTCTCTCTCTCTCTCTAACCCTTTCTCTATCTCTCTCTTTCTCTGTCTCTGTCTCTCTTTCTCGCTCTCTCTTTCTCTCTCTCTCTCTCTCTCATCTCTCATCTCTCTCTCTCTCTTCTCTCTCTCTCTCTCTCTCTCTCTCTCTCTCTCTCTTTCTCTTTCTTTCTATCTCTATCGATCTTTCTCTCTCTTTCTCTCTCTCTCTTTCTCTCTGTCTCCATCCCACGTTCCCATATATCTATGTATCTATATATTCATCTATCGTATCACTTTTCTTCCTTCATTCTTTCCCTTAATATTAATATTATTATTATTATTATTATTATTATTATTATTATTATTATTATAATAATTGTAATAAAATTTGGTCAATTTATTCAACTATGTACTATATAATTGTGTTTAGAATAAAATATTTTATAGATTATTTTATGTATTTATGTGTGTGCGTGCGCTCGTGCGATCGTGTGTGTGCGTGCGTGCGTTTGTGTGTGTGCGTGCGTCTGTAATTGTGTCATTCATTGCTAACAATCTATGACCCTGTCTGTTAAGTGTTAAGAAGGATACATCAGTACTAATATTGGTATATTTTTTGTGTTATGCCCGAGGTCGCCATCTAAAAAGTAAATTCATAGCAATAAGTGATATAATTGGTATGCGTTAGTGAGAACAAAATACATTCGTGCTGTGTTATTGTAGTGTAGTCCACTGTTGGAGCAAGAGAGAGAATCGAATAGGGAGCTGAGCAGCAGATTGCAGGTGGGAGAGCAGAGAGTTGCAGAACTGGAGTATAAGATCACCACACTGACCACGGTATGTTTCAGCAGCCGTGACAGGACTGTAGAACCATTCTTGGCTCAACCGTGGCATAAGTGGTCTTAGTACCAGCAGTGTGACAATATCGTATGGAATCGCTCTATGCTAACTGGGGTAGTAGTACACCTACGCGTGGTAGCATGTTAGTAAATTTGCAGTTAGCAATTTTCTTGTCACAAATCTATCGCAAACTATCGGTTCCGCTAATATAGAAGTATAGAGATGCGTATAGAAGCGTAAGAAAATTAGTAAAGTGTCAGACTGGTAGTAAGTAGTCAGTTCAGTAATCAGTAATAATTTAAATCAATCAGTCACCGATGGGGTAAGCGCAGAGTTTGTTACCACAAAAACATCGTTTGTTATGTATTGCCAAAAAAAAGAGAATTAATTTGTTTCATTTTTTTATACAAGAATACTTGAGCTAACGCAATATGTTGTTTCTCGCAATGGCAATTTAGCAGCTGGCAATGTAATTTCTCAAAATAACCATTACTGATTGATAAGGTTTTTCTTAGTTTAGTACGACTGCTGAAATGATTCACCTGTGTGGTAGCGTAATGTTTTGAATATAACCCGCTGCTTGCAGACCATCGAGAGGCTGAGCCTTGAGAATGAGCAACTTCGTGAGGAGAACGGCGACCTGAGAGACGAGAACAAAGCCATACTGAGCAGTTCCCGGAAATTGAGCTCGAACGATTAAGGACTGCGGCTTCGGATTCGGATTTGGTTTTCCGGATTCGGGCTGGCAGTCACAGTGTGACAGATATTATAGTTTCTGCGGGGGAGTATAGCGCGGTCGTGCCACCAGCTTTCGCTCTCCCGCAGCTTATTATGGAATGTCAGTAGTGGAGAAGTCCATCTCCTGTATTTGGTATTAGAGAGAAGGGCTCTAGGACCTCCTCCCCATACCAGGTCGAAAGAAGTGTCCGAACTACCTACGGATTACCCTTTCCCTTCTATTTGTAGTCCTGTACTGTAAAAGCTAGTTAAGTCGTCCACGCGTGTAGGCCTATACGTGCAAATCTTCACGCGGCTGGCTGTGAACTGATATTAAAATCCTAATACATGTTTGCCTATAATCTGGATGCTTTTCATTATTATAGATGTTCACATATCTTGTCAAAGTCTATACTTGTATAGATATATATGTTATTAGATTCCATAGCGTTATATATAGCAATTAAATTTATTGACATTCGGCACTTGTATAACTCTAACAGCATTTTGACATATAGTATCAGTACCACTCGACGCGGGCTAATAGTGTGAGAGCCAGCACATACCTAGAAATTGCCAGCCGTCACTCTTGAATAGTGTTATGATACATGCATTTTAAAACGTATAATAATAGCTTGTGTACACTGTAAATATAGCGCATACATACATGCAGCGGTTTATTTAAAATAAAAACTCATGTATGCCGTATAGTAGCCGTCGCGGAGATGATTTGTGCTCAATGAATTTACGAATGCGTTGGTATTTATTGTGTATATGGACACACAGAATGCATATCATTTTAGTGGATAAAGAACTTGATAGAAAGTCTGTATTAGTAATAAATGTGATAATGTTCTCACTGATCATACAATAGCTGTAGAAATCGTCCAAATTAACACAGTAGTTAGATAACAATTAATTCAAAGTTTAAGCCAATATATTGATCTCGAGAAAATATTTGCTAGTAGTACACGCCTCCAACATTATTTATATGTATAGAGATTACTGTTGATGGATTCATGATGCCCAAATCTCAATATGCATGTGGTTTGGAATACGGGTGATTACTAGCTTACTGAGGAATCACGAGATCGGTTCGTGGCTAATGCGCGAGGTCAAATTAAGTAATTTCATCATCAATTAAAATTCGTTGTTTTAATCATGGCATCTACATGAAGTCGTCATCGTAAAACTATACCAGATAACTAGACAATGTGACATTTTATTTATTGTCGTTTATGTAATCATTTTAGTATTGAATTAATGGCGAATGTATCTCATTCGCGGACCCAACAAATATGATCGGAAGAAGTATAGAATCATCAGGTACACGCTGCACACTGATATAAATATTATATAATATCAAGAGCGTATAAAGAAGGATCTTCTTTAGACGGGCCTTTCTTATACCCTTTAGACGCTTAGACCCTTTAGACCCTTTAGACCCTTTAGACCCTTTAGACCCTTAGGTCCTTTAAGGGGTTTTAAAGGTCCTTTATGGGGCACTTCCTTTTAAAGGGGTTTAAATGTCTTTTTAGTTTCTTTATAGGGACCCTAAGGGACCTTTAGACCCTTTCGACCCTTTAGACGGGCCTTTAGACGGGACTTCTTTAGAGAACGCCTTCGTTATACGCTCTTGATAATATATGTACGATGTTCATCTATCGACACTATTGGTTTTATCCGCTGGTCATATTCTTGGTAACCTAAGCCATTTACCTAACGTCAGGTAAGAGGCAGTAGGTCTCCTCAGTAAAATAGTATATAACTCACACAGTACTCCGTGATGCTCTAGTTAAGATTGATGAATTGTCGTGTTGGTTAGTATCCAAAGCTTTTGTAGTGAAGTAAGGAAATATCGCGCGCGACAAATTATTATTATCCGCACATTTAAAAAGTGTTATATATTCTGATAAAGAGAAATATAGTATTTCTTCTAAATTCAAATTCATAATTTGTTATATAGTTTTTTTTTCAATTTATTCCATAAACAGACCTTTGCAAATGTACCCTATAGTGTTATTTATCCGTAATTGAAGAAGTGAATAGGACGTTTGCGTGAATACTTCAGATTAGTCTAATTGGTATGCAAATGTACTAGTAGTTTCCCAATTATATATAATATATCTCAGAGAATACAAAACACGTTTACTTTAAAAAATGTATTTACTTAATGAATATATTTTCTAGTCCCATAATACTTTATAAGAAGGTTTTCGCCTCTTTGTATTTCTCGTACATGTATATGCATTAATTGAGAAGAAAAGTCTTTCGATAAAGGAATGGAGGCAATGATTAACCGTTCTAAATTCGATTTGGGTATTTTAAAACCTAAACCGCTTACTGCTATGTCCGTCATTTTTTATTAGAATTGACGGACATGTATGCATAATAAAAATTTAAGTAAGCCTGCTGCCTTACAAATTATTTATCGCATTGAATGAAACGGAATTCGGCGACGATTACAAGCAAGTATTAATGACTGCCGACTTCAAGTGATATTGGATACGTAGGCCTACATGAATCCTATGTCCCTAACATACAACACTAGATGACGTTGCGCTGCAATATCGCAAAGTGGTTCACGCTCAATCCAACATACAGGTGCCGTCTATATATTTACATTGATCCTACTTTTAATAATTATAGTGGCATTGGCACAGCTAGCTACGTGCCAGCCCGCGCACACGCGACAAAATATTTTCAGTGCTAACAGCTCACACCAGGCAGACGACACAATAGGCCTACTACCGAATACAAACAAAAATTAATACAATAATTAAGAGGATTGCCCACTCAATCTGGTATATATGGCAAGTACTTTCCGCGGACACTGGACCGTGTGCATGGTAAAATCTGATCTACATGCTTCACTTCGCTCTGAGCATCGCGACACGATTCCCAGCTATGCTAATGTATGGGCAAATGGCGCTGCGACGTCGGTCGCCGTTGACTGCCAAGATAATATTCTTCGGCCGTTCTTATACGTTCAAACTGGAGCCGGCAGGCTAACAGCACGCGTGCATTGTAAAATCTGATCTCCATGCTTCACTTCACTCGCAGCATCGCGCCACGATTCCCAGCTATGCTAATGTATGGGCAAATAGCGCTGCGACGTCGGTCGCCGTTGACTGCCAAGATAATAATCTTCGGCCGTTCTTATACGTGCATGCAAACTGGAGCCGGGCAGGCTGACAGCACGTGTGCATGGTAAAATCCTATCTACATGCTTCACTTCACTCACAGCATCGCGCCACGATTCCCAGCTATGCTAATGTATGGGCAAATGGCGCTGCGACGTCGGTCGCCGTTGACTGCCAATGTAATATTCTTTCTACGTCCAAAGTGCAGCCGGGCGACAGCACGACGTGCGCGTGGAATCAGCTTCGTGGAATCAGCGCGGAATAAGCAGCGGAATGGCTTATTGAACCGCGTGCAGAATGTAGACCATAATGTAGTGCCATAGGCATGTTTGCCAGAGATAGTGAATTCAATACCTCTATATAAAGGCGGGCACGACGCGCGTATATATTTATTACGACAGATCAATGTCTTTGCCGGCTGATTTTGGGTGCGAGAGTCGATTTGGCAACAATAACTGTGACGTCACAATTTCAAGGCCGGTGTCGCGCGAAATTCCTGACGTGTGCGAAATACATGATATAGGATGCGTATTAAATCATCAAACTCTGGCATACGCATCCTATATATCATGTATTTCGCAAGTCAGGAATTTCGCGCTACACCGGCGAACATCCGTTGGCGTGATTAAGTGCACGTCAACTTTTAACTTTAAATTGTACTATTGTTACGAGTCCGTACAGTAACTGTTTCACTTCAACTGCGAAGACGGTGGCTCGGACTAGCGTATACGGAACTAACGAAAACGTCGGATGTCTCCTGTGGCACGAGTAAATCTTTACTCGTAAATAACATGGAATTGATCTATACTCGACGTTTCTGTGTGGCCAGTGTGGCTAGATATTCATGAACGGATATTCATCTAGGACGATGCCAGAATCACATGGATTGGGACGCATGCGACCATTTTCCAAAGCTTATCTACTGAATATTGGCCAGAACGAGCAAAGATATACAACACTACTCAACGTGTCATGATTTACCAACGCTGACGCCATGGAAAAGGTATAGGTACCTCGTTATAATTTCTATCAAACTCGATTACAGCCATCGCTTGTGAATCACGCTAAGAAAACCATGGCACAACACCATGAGAATTTATTCCCGCGACAAGCTGATTGTTTCAAGATATTACCCGATTGCACTGGCTGTTAGCTTGCACGTTATTTTGAGTTTACCGTGGACATGAGCATATATTAGCGAGACTCATTCAACGAATGATCCACTAAATTTTACAATAAATAGTTGGATGAACTCCATAAGAAGTAAATAATTGTAGCGTAGACACATGCACACACACACACACACACACACACACACACACACACACACACACACACACACACACACACACAC